GAAACATACTTTCTGCTCTACAACTCAATGCTATACCTACACGAGTCCACGACAGATAGCCATTGGCTCTCAGGATACTCGTATGGTGAATTTCTAAGATTCACTACTATAGCCAAATAAGGTCAATTTAATAGCCACACTCGTTTCCCATATATGTATCTCAGAGACACAGGAAATATCCATGACTCAAGATTCCAGAGTTCTGATCACCAATCCTTGCTGTCCGATTCGGCATAGAGTTGGCACGTTGAAAGCTGCTACATGGAATCGATAGCTGGATCTTTGGAGACTAGGGATGAGGATTCGATGGTTTTGATCGTTCGCAACGGTTGCAGAATGAGGTTGGGGAAGGTGCAACGGGTTAAAAATTGGCATGAGGAGGTGAAGGCAAATGAGGAAAGAGTTGAGGAGGATCGATTATGTTTTATTGGGTCTTATGTAGTACTGGAAGCGTGAGGGCAGTTTACATTTCCCAGCTGTCCACACTGTGGAGGGCTAGTTCTTCTTGAGATACCTGAGGAAGAATGGATAGTGTGACCGTAGAGTTGAAGAAACATCTGCTTCGCGCTGATCGCACATGGCAGGGTTAAGAATTTGGTTTTTTGCCTTTGAATCGGACTATGAATCCCCTATGCAGGCATCGGGGTGCTTCGAAAGAGTGAACGTGCTATTTCGGGGTCGACTATTTTTAACCCCAGTTCTCATAGAAAAGGAAGCTTCAGTCTGGCACCGCTGGTCATTTATGGAAACACCATACAGGTTCACACCCTCATCCTGCCAGCAGTATGAGTTCACTCTCAAACCCCCATCATCGTGTAGCAACTTATACTATAATGGTTACAGCTTTTTGTCTTACCACTATCCAACGGACCTCTGTGGCATGGTAGGACCTCGAGGGGACAAGGGTCCCACCATCATGTCTCGTTCGGTCATTATGATATACAAGTTCAACCACCAAATCACAGTAGGAAATATCGGTGAGGTGATATGACCATGAGCAATAAACTTTGCTCGAGAGGTCATGAGTGAATAATTCTGCCTCACTGTGATACATGTGATTTACAAAACTACAATGGAATTACACCGTCATATTTTACAAACTCGATCCCTATTTTAAGTTATTTTTGATATGGTTAGAATATTATATATATATATATATATATATATATATTATATATATATATATATATATATATATATATATATATATATATATATATATATATATAATACTACTGCAGTTCATGTACATCTGGAAAACAGATGAATCAATTCTAGTCTTCATTTACTTTATCATACACAGGTCGTAAGGTACCGACCAGGTGTAAACTCTGCAGTACGCGACTTTGGACAGTAAGGACATCAATACACTTAGACCTGATGGTCTACCATACACTATATTATTATTATTATTAGTCCCTTGGGTTCCTAGTGGAACATAGGGCTTCAGTAGCACGCCTCCAGTGATCTCTGTTCTCTGAGATCTTTTGAACCTGGTCCCACGACAGCCCAGAAGCTCTCATTTCCTCCTCGCACGACCTCCTCCATGTCACCCTCAGCTGGGACGTCCAACTCGTTGCTTCCCATGGGGATTCCACTCGAGCAACTGGCCTGACGCGTGATGTCCTCCGTCGGCCTTCTCAGTGCATGCCCAATCCATCTCCACTTCTTCCTGCATATTTGTTGCGTGATAGGTTCTTGGTTGGTTCGTTCCCAGAGCTCCTTGTTGCTTATTCTTTCTGGCCATCTGATGTTCAGTAACGAGCGTAAGCAGTTGTTGATGAATGTCTGTAGTTTATTGGAAATGCCTTTCGTGACGCGCCAAGTCTCTGAGCCATACAGGAGCACTGACTTGACGTTGGTGTTGAAAATCCGTATCTTGTTCCGCATGCTGAGTGCTGTGCAGAAGATCTCCACACTGGTTTCAGGCTAATGAACGCCTGTCTTGCTTTTCCGATTCTGACTTTGACGTCCTCGTCTGTGCAGCTGCCTGTAGTTGAAACAGTGCTTCCTAGATAAGTGAAGGAGGTTACTTCCTTCAAGTTTCTCCCGTTGATGGTGATTGGAGTTTGTTGTTGTTGTTGATGGTGGTGGTGCGGTATCTTCATCACTTCTGTCTTCTCTATATTCACCTGAAGTCCCGTCTTCGCTGCCTCGCCCCTTCTATCAACTTGTTAGTTTTTGCCTGCAGATCTTCAAGTTTGTGTGACATTAGGCATAAGTCATCGGCGAAATCCAAGTCTTCTAGGTTCTTTCCCGCCGTCCAGCCAGTGTATCCCCCTCTTCTCGCTGCCTACTGTTTGCTGCATGATCTAGTCCAGTCGACCACAATCAGGAATATCATGGGGGATAGTAGGCAACCTTGTTTCACTCCTGTCTCCACTTCACTTCAAAAGCATCACTGAGCTTCCCATTGTGAATTACTTGGCATGTGGCATCTTCATATAGTTGTTGAATGAGGCGGATAAAGGTTTGCGGTACTCCGTAGTATTGAAGCAGTTTCCAAATTACTTCTCGGTCGACGCTGTCAAAGGCCTTCTCAAAGTCGATGAAGTTGAGGTAGAGAGCTGATTGCCATTCTATGCTCTGTTCTATGATGATGCGAAGCGTTGCAATTTGGTCTGCACATGATTTGTACTTCCTGAAGCCTACCTGTTCCGGTCGCAGTTTTGAATCCAGTGCATCTTTAAGCCTCTCAAGGATGATGACACACTATATTACGTGATGGTAATTTGTGATAAATACAGATAACAGCAGTATCCGTTTTTCTTCAAAATTCAGAATCCTAAGTGTAGCACTTCGTTTGGAACAGATTTTACGACAACCCATGAAGGAAACCCCATAACAATCAGTAGGAAAGTACAGAAAGTCTTAAATTTCTCAGAAACACCTGCTGCACATGTAATAACCGGCAATGCTTTCTGCCCACTTATCAAATGAGAGGAGATGAAGGTGGACTGAGAAACTAATCGATTAAATCCTGAGTACCGAAAACAATGAATCAAGCCACTTATCATGTGTTAAGATCTGTGAACTTCGTGTTTTACACACAATAATAATTGAAACCTTTATGTGGTGCATAAAAGTGCCGACGAGTAAAATCGGCAAATGCTCAGTGATTTAATGCATGGGTTTACCGGTTAAGGTTCACAAGATAAGTGTAATCGGCGAGTGAAAACCTTAAGTGACATGTTTTCAGTTGCCCAGATGTAACTATGCCTTACTTTTTTCTGAGTATTGATGTTCTTGTTTTTATCCTTAATAACCTCTGATATTTTGTCTTGAATCTACTTTTCTCATTTTATTTACCATAACTGGTGTTATTACCTTCAATTTTTTGTACTTCCTTTTGGTGATCTCTATTACTTGCGGAGAAATGAGGCAACCTGGAATCGTGTGCGATTTTGCCAATTCCCACGTTGTTTATGACTGACAATTGGAAATAAACAACATGCACGTCATAATATAGATTGTATTTATTGACTTTCAGTGCTTTCTTCATAATAAATCTTTGTTTTGTAGTGTTTTTTGCTAGAAGTATTACAGTGAAAATTAATTAGAGCTAAAAAGGCTCATACTTACTGCTAATCACAGTATTCAAAGCTAGTTCTGACAAAAGATAATTGTAGTATAGTGAAACTTCACAAAAACATAACTACCCAGTACGCTAATCACAAAGAAGTATCCGTATAAATACATTTCCCTAAGTGACTAAAAGCTCACAAGTTTCAAAAAAAGCTATACAGTGCTGAAGTTAGCATTGATATTGATCTAAATTTACCAAATACTAGACAATAAGATTGATGAAAGCACAACTTCGCACAGAATTATATCAGTCCAAGTTGTCACAATTTGGAGCACAAAAAGGAAATGAATACAAAAGGAATGAGAATGGTGTAGACGTACATGTACATTATTGCAGTGTTTTATTTTCCCTGTTTCTATTAGCACATGAATTCCTTGTATGGAGACGTGGTTCACTGGGATTAGACTAGCACTAGACTTTAAAGCTATAGGTGCTAGGGTTAAACTTCATGTCATCTACTTCGACCTACCTGGGTAACCGTGTAGTATAAGCTCTTGCATAATAAGTGTGACTAATACCCTAGTATATAATCACTTAAACAAGGGTGAGCTGCATTTCAGTTTTTTACCATTATGGATACTTCGACATTGCCCTTTACCAGATATACGTTATATGTGCCAAGAAATGATCAATTCAAATCTGTGTATCACGACAGAAAAAATCGAAAATTCCAACGACAAATACTTGTAAAATCTGCATTTTCAAAAAAGTTATAGATGGAGTAAATCTTATTTTTCACACATAATTTCTACTTATTTTATTATTACGTGAACACACACACTGCTTCTGTCCAATTGATGCTATAAGACATTGAAAATTCTGTACAGTATTAGGAAAAATATCTTTCAGAATGAAGCCATTATTATTATTGCTATTATTGAAGATATGATTATCACGACTCCATGGCCCAATGGATGACACTGTGGTGTTAGAAACAGACGGTTATGAGTGCAAGTCCAAGTGAGCACACCAGCACTCTCTGAGATGCAGATAAGATACATTTAGCTGGTGAGTCCGAAAATAAGGTAGAAGGTAGGTCTTGAATTTCACTACTAATCACTACGGAATGTATGATATAGAAGTCTACATTGTTTGATTTCTAACGACCGTGAATGATGAGAAATTCACAATTTAACAGATGTATTTACTACCATATCGTGCTAATAGAACAAAACTGTCGTTCTGACCTCATCTAACTTCGCTTTTTGTTTACCTGCGATAAAGTGATTTCTTACTATATCATAACACTGAGTTCATAGGAAATAAACCATTTTCATCAAACCGGAATATCAACCAGTCTAGTAAAATACTTCATTCAGTAGAAGCATACAGCTTTGTCTGAAACTATAGTCTACAATATATTAAAGCATAACGAAAAAGTGTAAGAAAAATATTATAAAAATCAATCTTTTACCTTCCATCTTGAACATTTTGGAATATTTTTCGAGCAGTTTCGATGAACACATTTTCTACATTGGCACCTCTAGAAATACACGTAGTAGAAAATACTCATTTTTTTAATAAATTCGGTTTCTTGACCAACTTGAAATAAAATGTCAATGAGATAACTCTTAAAAATACTGACAATTACAGTGATGATAATAATTTTAGTGTTACTGCTTGTAGTACACCGTCCTTGATTGGACAGTTCCTTAAGTCATTATCCAATCTCTTATTTGTTTACTTCCGTTATGCAGTTCTTGTAGTCAGTTGTTTCGAATTATGAAAAATTATCAAGTAACACATTCGATTTATTACTTATTATTGCGACTCTGGAACCCTTGTCAGACAAAAGTTCAACTCATTTGTCGTTTAGAGGCCTATCAATGCACTTTCTTCGCTAAACAGAAATCAAGACCAAGCCATCCCAAGCACGTGTACTAGCTAAATATCGACAATTTTCGGGTTTAAAAGACCATATATGATCTAGTCACTGAGATTTTCGAAAGATAATGAAAATTGTGACCTAAATAATAATAATAACAATAATGACCTAAGTAATAATAATGATAACAATAACAATAAAGGCAGTTTAAGGGTAATCTTCAAAACTAGAGCTTAGTCATGTCTTTTGCTGCGATACGACAAATCATTAGATTATTGTGTAGCCTACAAGATTTAACAGGGAATCATTGCCTCAAAAACCTCACAGTTCAATTGCTTCATAGTTGGACAAATATGATAATATAGTAAAATAAAATAAATAAATTTCACATAAGTTTCGTTAGGCTACACACACAATTCTTACATACGTAACTTTCGTAACATAGTTGAAATTCATACCTTGTAGTAACCCTTTCTATACGAATCGACATGTTCCGCTTAGTTGAAATAGGTTTCTAATTCCACTGTTGACGGGTTTGAATGTGGTTACACCTAAAGAATTCTCATTACCCTGATATGAAAAGTGTGATTCAGCCTAATGCATACATCTGTGCAAGGCTGCTGAGTAACACTCACATATCGTTATTATGTAAATCTGGTTCTATGGAGCACAAAAAGACGGCTATGTGATTCAATGAATATCGAATAAGTGACAAATTAACACCAGTGAGATTACAATCTTTACAAAAATCATCAGCTAAGACCGTAGATGAGAAGTTTGAAAACTGGTCACTTTTATTTGAAAGTATGGTCAATGAAGAATGCATACAGATCGCTTTATGAAAGTTTGTTAGTATACACTTGTAGTGCTTGTAATTAATAGGTGTTCAGAAAAGGAAAAAGTATGCAAATTTAAGACATGATTGACTTCAGTAAGTGCAAGAATTAGGGTATTCGATCACCGGTATATGTGAAGCAACTCTTATGATTGAACTAACGATTTAGCAGCGTTGATTTAGAACGTACTGTTCAACAATAAAGGTGAGTCAGCCCATTAGTTTATGAACCTGTATCGACCTAACTACTCAGAAAATGTTATATAAGCAAAAGCACCACCTACTTCGATATCATATTCTGACTGCAGAAGTAGGTTGGAAGATCAAAACATGATACAGACCTGTGAAGTTAGTGACAGCTAATTCAATCCTCTTAGAAATATGTGAACTTCCAGAGTACAGTTCGAGACTCTAGTTCACATACTGTTTAAGACCACTGACAGTCAAACAAATAAGACACGAAGAAACACCTAAAATTATTAGTTCGAAGAAAGAATTCAACTAACAACTAACCAGATATTAGATAGTGTAGTATAGCAGTTTAAGTTGTGATCCTACATATTATATGGAGGAAGTGAGTAGAAATGCAATGACAAAGTAAACAAAAACTATGAGGTTACAAAAAATGTCCATAATATCCTTAAAACGATACAAAGGGGAAACATTTGTGAGGTTACCGCCAGTTCTGAGCCATATCACTAATTCTTTAACACCTAGATTGCTATGGTTCCGAAAACCCCACCGAAGCCTAAACTTCTTACACGGCCCAAGCCAGTCAGAATTCATGAGCTTGTGTTACATGCTAGCTTTCTCCAACACAATCCTAATCCAGTTAAAATTGAGCTTTAAGGCAGATGGTGATTTGGTATACACGATAAGTTCAGGCAATATTGATAGGTTAATGTTCGCAACTTCATTGATTGACTTATTTTCCATACTCCTAAATGCTCTGGTGTGTTAATATCCTCTGCCAGAGAAATCCTATTCTCTGCCTTCATGTGGCAGGGGTGTTTCCACAGATGGGAAAGGGTGCAAGCCAATGTCTAGCGCTGGATTAGTGGATACTGAAGGTCCACCTAGGGGAGTCGGAAAACCTTGATTCAAAACTAATGGTGCACATGGGCTTCAGGTTCTAGATGGAACGAATGTCGTATGAACCCATTCTGGTCACCGACAACCATGGGAATGCAGCCCCTGATGTTGCGCTACTGCCTTGTGGATTTGACACTAAGTCAAAGGCTCAGAGAGTGGTTAAGAAAACCACCTGCTTTGGTTTGGGTGCCCGGGCAGTATCCGATCCCTCACGTAAGATATGAATTTACAGTATAAAATGAAGATTTCGAAGCAACCAGCCAGCTTTTTTGCGAATACTCAGGCTCTCCGCACCACGAACATTTTAACTGATTACTCAATTTATAGCTATCATATTATTTTTGTTATTTTTACATATGAACTGCATTTGTTCATTATTATCATTTTTGCTGATCTTTATCTTCACTTATCTGCTCTCCGTCGCCAGATTTCTGGTCTGTCTGTACTGTTTTGAGTCGCTGAACAAGTGCCCTTATAAAGCTGTCCCCCAGTGCGACATCTGACACAGCTATTCCGAAACCATGCATACCGTTCATGCTCGCCACCTTCAACGTTCGCACGTTGATGCAGATCGGACAACAGGCAGGTTCGGCTAGGGATCTAGAAAGCCTTGCTATTGATGTATGTTGTATCTTAGAGACCCGCATACAAGATCCCAAAGAAATACTACGAATTAGTTCCCCATCTGTCTGCTCGAAGAGCAAGTTTCATGTGCGCTTATCCGGGAACCTGTGGCATTGGCAACCAGCCTCGCTGTTGTCGGTGTCGTACTAAGCGCTCGAGTCGAAGCTGGATCCCCATCAACAGTCGTCGATGTCCCGTTAGGCTAGAGGGTTCATCCCGGCAAGAAAAATGATGTATTTCTGTCATCTCTGCTTATTCTCAATAGATCGCAGCCCGGATGCAACCAAGGACGAATTCTATCATCAGCTGAGTGATTTCAACCAAATGCGCTCGACAGATAGCTAGATAGCTGGGGACCTGGATGCGCAGGTCGGGCGTTTAAACTCAGAGGAGAGTCGTTTAGGTGGGCAATAGGGACTAGTTGACGGCACGTAAGATATGGGGGCCGTTTACTGAAGCTTTGCGCAAATCAAAACCTATTTTTAGCCACCAACAACTCTCAGCACAGCCATCGCCGTTGTGCTACTTGGCATCCTCCCTTGCTACTCAAGTCTGGACTCAAATAGATCATATAGCAATCAACTGCTGATGGTGCGGGTCCATACCGGACTGCCACTTCATATAGAGTAATTGTCTGGACTCTGATCATGCTTTAGTGTGTGCTGAGCACATCTCTCATCAAAACCGTCATCCTAAACAGATCAGTTCAAGCAAATTAGTTGCAACTAACATTGCAGCTAAATACTAGTACGAGCTAGACTTAAGCTTAGTTACCGATTCTCCAGAAAGTGTAAACGAGTATTGGCTGTACTTGCAAGACGCAGTGGAAATGGCGAGTAAAGCCACTTACTGCTTGGAAGGACGTCCAGCTAGTAAAGACTAGATCTCTGCGATCTCCCTGCAACCTCTTTACACCCATCAGACTATTCCAGCGGATACAGAGTACAATGGTTAGAGTAAGTCTCATAAGCGAAATACTACACAACGCTTACGCAGGGGGCCATAAGCCCTGGTGATTTGAACGTGGAAGTGAGATGGAAGCAGCAGCTGCATCTGGCAATAATCGAAAGCTGTTCCAGCTCTTCCGAGCGGCTAGCAGTAAGAAGTTTGGTGTCAGTGAGACAGTCTGTGATCCAGATAGCACGTAAATAAATTATCTTCAAAGATGCCCGGAATGTTGGGCAGAGAACGTCAAAAATCAGGTTAGCTAGGCTACGGCTCCAAAATTGTCAGTTTTAATGCATTGTGCTCCACAGTCAACTAACACTGACGCGCCCGACCCAGACAACTTACCCTCGACTCTTTTTAACGATGGAGGAGGACTCTAGTCAGGGAGCTGACTAGATCGTTTGCGAAGGTATAGCAGACTGAGTGTCCCATTATTCTGGAATGAACCCGTCGTTGTGCCGACCTTTAAAAAACGTCGACGTAATGTGTGATAATTATCTAGGTATTAGTGTTACCAGTCACTTCGAAAATATTGGCTGCTATCATACTTCGCAGACGTTGCAAAATACGTGAGGAAATGATTCGCGATAAGCAGACCTCGTTTTGTGCTTATCTTTCCCCAGCTGACTGAACATAGCCACACGTAGTGTAGGCCAATAATCGTTGTGTTTCTTGACATTAGAGCTGCCTTCGATTCGTTGGACATAGCTGTACTCTGGAGGTGTCTGTTGGACAGGAGCGTGTCTGAGAAATTTATTAATATCTTGAAAGCGCTATATAATAAAACCTCAAGTAGAGTGAGGACATACAACCACTCGTCTCCACTGTTCCAAAGCAGCAGTGGGGTTATGCAGGGTTGCCCGAATTCTCCATTCCCCTTTAAGTTTGTCATCAATGACATTCTGGAAACAGCTATGAAGGAGGTATATAGTGGTGGTGTAGACCTAATACCCAGAGAACAGGGATTCCACCTTGAATGTACGGATGATATAGTCCTACTGTGCAGTAATACACAGGCTAATCAGATCGCACTTAATCACTTGGTGATTAGTGTCCGTAAGCACGGCATGTGCTCTGCCCCATTGAAGTGAAAAGTGATTTTGGAAGATTGGCAGAAGTCTGTGTTCACGATCACTCTTATTGGTGAGCCATTGGAAGTAGTCGAAAAGTTAGTGTATCTGGGTAGTTGTGTGAGTGCTGGTGGAGGTTTAAGTGGTGAAATTTCTAACCGCATATCGAAAGCCAGAGTGGCATAGGTCAATCTGGGTTACCTTTAGCACCGTTGTGACGTTATTCTGACCGCAAGTGGTTAGGTTTACAACGCTTCGATGCGAGTAGTTCTGCTTTTCACCCATGAACCCGGGTCTCTCCGAGCTGAGGACATGCAACGATTGTGTTGTCTCCGTAGGATTGCTCGTATCCAATGGTAACATCATGTAAGTAATTCTGAGGCATGATAGAGATCGTCATTCAATAAGTAGTGAGGTCATCTAGAAACGCTGGCTTCGGTGGCATGGATATGTGTTAAGCATGTCGTCCCAGAGGCTTCCATACCGTTCATTGTTTACTAGCCCTAGGACTGGATGGAAGCGGACGGGTGGTCAATGTATGACGTGGCGCCCCGAGATAAAAGATAGTTGTGTCGGGTTATCATCTGTTGGTGCATCACGACTCTCTGGGTGCGGTCCGAGAGATCATGCAACTCAGTGGCTTGAGACGTTATCAGATATGGCTCAGAATGGAAACCAGTGGCGGTCGTGCTGTCGCTTCCTTCCATCCCCTGCTGCTGAAAATTGTTTTGTTTTGAATGTATACTACTGGACTGGCCTATTCATGCCATACTATTCTTATTATTTTGCTTTCCACTTATTTACTTCTCATCATGTTTTCATGATGTTGTTTTACTACTATGTGTGGCGAACTTTTTTGGGCCCTTGCCGTCCCATGCTTGTGTTCTAATAACAATAATTATTACTACTTCCCTTGCCTAGTAATCTACGCTTAACCACAACACTCCTCACTCTACTGTCCCATCATACGAGTATTGCTCTTTCCATCTCAGCTACAATGTACAACCTAATAAGACGCTGAGCCACATACCAATCAATCAGTCACAATCAACGTGAGCTGACATTATTGCGTAACTTTTTAAGTTACCATGAATTATTTCAAAACAGGCTGGAAGGCGCCAATTTGGGATTAAGAATTGAGGAAAAAAGTAATCATTTTAGAAGGTAGTGATAAGAGAAGGAATGAAACAATAAATAATTCTGTATGGAGATAGTTTGTGGATGGACTCGACTCACTGACTTTGATTCTAAACAATATCACCTAGAGTCTTCCTCAACAGCCGATTTACGCTGTCACAGACCCCAACCGGGAAGTCCATATTTCCTCACATTGCTTAAATCAATCAAAATTCATGGACTGATGCTGTTTAAGTTGGGCTGACTTCAATCCCACTTCTATCTCAGCCACGGGGCAGATCATGACCAGGTATGCGTAATACATGTGTCAGCCACCTCAGTCGATAAAGCATTATATGAATAGGTTTTAGTTTAATCTGTGTTTAAAAATCTTGTTTTTGATCTAAGCACGCTGGGATTATATTAAGCCCTACCTATATAATGATTAAGCCTGACTCCGTGTTCAACTTCTTTCGGGACATTCGTAACAACTATGGCCTGGATGTTTATAATCAGTCGATAAAGGTTCAAAATCTAATTAATTGACTAACCTCTTCTATCCAAAAATTTACGACACAGCTATACGTTGCTGAAGTAGTGGTACAGCCCATGCTGCAAAGCGACGGCTGTCAAACAACTAGAGCAACCATGTTTTTTAGCCATATAATCGAACAGAGTGAACTTCAGTGCAGTGCACTCGACCCTTTTAATAAGCAACTGGTGCTTTAAGTTATAAAAAGTCAAACGAGCCTCTTTTCGTGACAAGTTTGAGTTTGTCACTGACTCACCTCGGCTGTGAGGTGGTCACTGCTCTCCATCATTTCCCTCTATTATTAGAAAGGAACCAGCGCAGACCAGTCCTAGAGCAACTATTTGAATTTTTCGAGCGACAAATACATTCCAAACATCCTCAAATTCCAACTCAAGATGTGCAGTAAACTCCGCATCTTATCGGGGTCTTCGCTTGACAAAACTATGTTATCTGCGTACCCTAGACCTATCAAGGATTCTCCTGTGATAAGATGGATCTCTATGAAATCAGACGTCAATAGGAAAACCTCCATGGCTAAACTTTTCATAAGTTGGAGGAACATTAGGAATCTAGAAGCACTGGACAGATGTTCTCTCCAAGTGTAGGACTCCTCAGCAGTGCGGGCCCACAACCCTGCCAGAGATAAAGTCAGGACATTACTATTGAGCCAATGGATCTGAATCCAATAGTCCATATTTCCAACTTCTGTCAGCTGTCCAGTGCCCCCAGGTTTCTAATGCGCCTACAACTGATATCAGTTCATGATGAATTCCAACCTAAGATCAATTAATAAGTTTCCACAAACCTCCAGATGAAAACTTGTTTCCACTCTTCACTGTACTAGGAATCTGCACATCTGTCAATTATGAAGCTGCTGAGGTTCGAAAACTCTTCCTAACATCTTTCCGACAGCCAGTTACGATCTTTAACGCTCTTAATACAGAAGATTGAAGACAGCGACAAGTCTTTTTTGGATAAGTGGTTTCGGCCTATTTCGATACGTGTCTAGCCAGTTACTCGCCGAATGTGGACTCAGCATTATCACCGTCGTGCTGTGCTCAAAACGACCTTGTTGTAGTAGTGTTTTTTAGGTCCATTAAAGCGTGGACATGTCATCTCAAACCAACACGTGATCGCTGGCCAAACAGTCCAAAGGAAGCAACAATTCTCACTGACTCCTTCTACTGATAACTCAGCAATATTTTGTCCACCATTGCGTTAAAGTCGACAAAGAGGAGGTCGGGATCAAATCAACGGGTGAATACCTTACATACAAGAATGACCCACAGCTCCCACACTACACGGATGTCAGTATAGAAGTGTAGCTTACAATTTTCAACAACTACATCTCTTGGCCGTCCAACTGGACAGAGCAGACCGCTATGTAGTACACCAATCCTACAAAAGGTAGTCGGATACGTTGCCAGCGACAAAATCATGCATTTTGAAAGGTGTTAAATGACTACTTTTTCAAGAACCTGCCACATCTATTAGTATGTCTGTAACAAGGTCGAATAAAAATTATGGTAGTGAAAACCCTTGACGACCATCACTGATTGTTGCCACTTCAGATGACCACGTGCCTTTATCTCGAACCCTTCCACACAGCTTTGCAACGTCTCAATTGACAGAGTTGAATTCCACCTCCAGATCAGGAAGTGTAGAAAATGTCAGGCACCGGCATGTCAATATTCAAAAAGTGAAAAAAATGGTCAAAAGAGCGTTGATAGAGTCTCAAAACTGACTGCTTTCCTCAATTCGCTCTTGAGCTCCATTCACGCATTGGATGACCAGGAGTCTTAATATAACAGCCAAGCCGACTATTGCGCTACCACAGAAGAAATCCTTTCTTTCATATGCACCGACACTATTGATGATTCGGATCAAACTGATGAGGTCCTCTCGTCACCATACACTAGATGGCACCTTCACTACTCCAACAAGTAATTACCCAACCAATCGTAAATACTTATAGGGAAAAGTAAATGTTTAGCAAACAAGAACTTAAGAGTATGTGCACAAGTGCACCAGCCCAGCGGCAACCGAATATAAGATATAAATGAAGCAGCATATATGTTCAAAGTCAAGAATCGAAATCCACCCACCAACCACATGCACGTTCGCACAGTAGACGATAAGTTACATCTATTGTATGAAGACTGGTGATCCTAGCTGGCTACCCAGACCTTGATAGGTGAGGCGAGGTTCGAACGCGCAACCCATCAATTATGCATCGAGTGCCTAGACCAAACAGTCAGTTTGTGTTTACAACATACACGAATAAACTATACTGACAAGTCCGTTATTCCAGTACCGCTTAGTTATGTTACTGAGTACAAAATTACTGGTTTTCAACATCTTGACGACTTTACAGTCAGTCAAATTAGCACTTGGTGATTTCATGGATATTGAGTCTCAATTAGATACTCAGCTTACCCTAAAGCCAATCTCGGATGTCCTGAAAACCATGGAACTAAAAAAGTGAGTAAGTCAGCAAAAAACTGCTCACAGCAGCTGCAACAAATCGAAATTATTAGTGGTAACATTCTTAATAAAATAACTAGGCAAAAATTCACCGAAACAGCCTTCAGTTTCACAATAAGGAACAATTACACTGAATGGTCACATACCCATTAAAATACATTAAATCCTGGGGATTTCATATGAAGGTTTAAATTAACTACTGAACACAACTTGTAACTTACGACTTTGCGCTACATTCCAAGAACATAAGACCATTTTCTTCAGCTAACTGTTTAGCCTCCTCATAAGTGACGTCACGCTGCTCTTCCAGGTCCGCCTTATTCCCGATAAGGAATATGACTGTGTTGGGTGAAGTCAGCCGCCGAGCGTCTGTTAACCACGTCTGAATTCGGTTAAAAGTTGGCTTTCGAGTAATATCGTACACAAGAAGTGCCCCAGCAGCGCCCCGATAGTATGACCGAGTAACGGCCCTGAAGCGCTCTTGCCCAGCGGTATCCCATATTTGGATCTTTACTTTTTGATCATTTACTTCCACTATTTTCGTAGCAAACTCAACACCGATTGTATGCGGGCAATCAGGGATAACTACGAATAAAAATTAATAGGAATATCTGCTCATACACTTTTTTTCTGTAAACTGGTGCATAAGACAGCTTTTCCCTACTCCCATGTCGCCAACAATTATATATTTGAAGATATATGAATAATTATAGCCACCTCCGATTGACATTCTTCAGAAAATTAAACACAGCGGGAAATGTGCAGCACACAAATAACCTTTGATGAGTGAAAACAAAGACCTCTGTATAATTCAGCACTATGGGACATCCCAACACTTCTTTAATATCCATCTGAATTATCAAAATTCTTCATCTAGTTAATAAGGGGATAAGCATTTTTAGTTTAACTTCAGTTTTTAGAAGTAAGGATAACATCAAGTAACCTGTAATAATCTGTGTGATCTTTAGCAAAACAAAAATCCAATCCTTATTTAGGAAATTCAATAGAACCTGAAGAATTAAAGCTGCCTCCTAAAAATTTCGACAGAGAATTTCACCGAGATTTTCAAACTTCTCAGTTATACCCTCCCACGTCGGTTAGGGTTAGGGTTGAAGCAAACCAGACAGACAAATGTCTAAACCACTACGGAAGATATTTTTGGCTAGTACGCGGTCTACTCAAACCAGAATAGTATAACAGAAGTAGGTCAAGTTGAGTTAACTGTTCCATGTAAGGCAGAACAGGAGAGCAGCGGACCGTTTTACTACTTACCAGGTGAACTTGTTCCAGTACACCTATTTCACATTTAAACACAACCGCTGGCTGGATGACTCGTTTCAAACGATGTATGATGTGTGTGTGACACAATGTTCCAAACAAATCCCCACACAACAACTGAAATGCTTCACGAATTAACTAAGGAGTGCTCTCGCCCTACATTTCGTTGTATTCCTGACTTTACGACTTGCTAAGACTTATAAGTCTTCGTATTAGGAGCTATCGATGGTGGTGTGTCATCACTAGCGCAGTCGTGGGAGCCTTCGCAACCTCCCCACATGACCAAATACCCATTAATGTTAGCCTCACGGACCTCCCGTCAACCATTCATTTAATGCGTTCAAGTCTTTGCGTTGGGGAAGTATATCCTCGTCTCTACCCCTAACTGTCAAAAATTTGGCATAACATGGAAGCATACGATGATCCAACTTTCAAAAGCAGTTCACTGAATTGGATCCGGAGGAAGAGATAGGCTAATTTGTTGCTTGCAGTGCAGCTATTTTTACATGTTCCCACACGGACAATCTCTCATCAACTCTGACTCTCGACCCTCTGCTACTTTATGCAGTACCTTGCTTTCTTTTGTATTTCAAGCCCGCAAAACTTTGCCGGTAGCCCTAAATTTTGGGCTCCATTGAAGACTTAACCGAGACCGATAAGTATTGAATTCGCGAGTTCGTTTACAGTGGGAAAGTTCGCGTTCATAGAAAATGGACCGCGAATTCCTCTGGTCATTAACCTGTGATCAAAACAACAATAAATGAAAATATTGCAGTCACCTGGAGAGGCGGACTGCCCGCAATTCAAATAACACCCACTTCTAAAGTGGGCGTTGAGTTGGTGTCTACATGACACCGATGAACCTTCCTAAATCGCCTCTCCAAGGCCTAAGAGCTCCTGAGGGGTTGTGACTGATATCCAACCTCTTGATTCGAGATTCAACTACTTAGTCTCCTCCAAGATAAGTGCCACCTAAGACCAACTTCTGAACTACTGGACTGTAGTTGTTTGCGTCGATTTTTAACGGCTCCGTTCGGCCTGATCTAGAGTTTGGGACAGTTGCCTTTCCCTCTTTTCTGCTGAAGGATAAATTAGGCCTATAACACATCAAGAGGTGGTCGAACGAATCTGTCCGAGGACGCAAGTCTAAAAAGTATGGAGAAAGACTGGTACTGCTTGCTCCATGCCCTCTGGACTACCAAAAACCAAAAAAGGACCTGACAGTAGCCTAAGATATCCCAAGCACCCGTGGAAACTCATCACGTCACTTACTTAACTACGGTTGTAACACCGGTCTTGGAGGATACATGTAGACGGTAAGTCTGTAAAACAGCAGATTTGATGTCAGACACAACGTTTACTCTATGAAAGCCGCTAAATCTCAAAACGCCATGCAGCGATGAGTGCGGCTACTTCATCCGATTACTTTAAGCTCCGCCTCGATGCACACTTAGGGTGTACTTGGAAACTCATCCAAAACTAAACTCATTTTCTCATATAAACTGCACTTTTCTCTCCCCAGTCATTCGTTCATACGTTGGCAACCGCAAAGACTGGTGGCGCACTGGTTACACATGTGGAATTCAATTGAGCTGAAGCTTCGTCGCTCTAATTCAGGCCACACGAAGCTGTTCAAAATCTGATGGAAACTTCATCTAAAAGTTACTGATCCCAAGTTGGCATGAACTACGATATCTCATCGTCATGTGATTCATAGCTTTGGTGAGCTAGAGCACATAAGTTTTTCTGTGTCACTGATACTTCCACGCCTGTAGCCTTCACATATGAGCCACGGTGAATTTTCAAGGTCGGGCGAAATCCAGTCCTACCCTTCCGCCTCTAAAGCCTGGCTGAGTTTTCCCACAGAGAATCTCCATCTTCACAACCTCTGATTTCGTAACAATTAACAACATCGCTCACTGAGAGGCAGGTACATCCAGCTGACGATCCCAAATAGGACGAAGTGCGCATCCTGGATTCCACTGCTAGCCACTGCCCGAATCAAATTCCGATTTCGTGTGCCCTATCTCACTCCACGGTTTCATATCATTGGGGAAAATGTGGAGTTCAAATATAGCCGGCATGTAGTTTCTGCACGTTAGGAAAAGAAGAATCTCTAATATTGAAGGGAAAATGCATTGGGATGTTCCCTATCTTCGGACATGGAGACCTTAAACGAAACTAAATTGGGTGAGCGAGTGCTGTGTCAACCGAATGATGAACGGTGGTTTAATTCCGGTTAACTTTAGTCTACCAACAAAGTAATCATGGTCCACAAGAATGAACGCTTCGGAAGGGCCTGGATAGAGATATCAATCATTTCTTGATTATCAGAAAAGCTAACCCACTTGTCTGCTGCAATAGTCGAGTCAGCAATGCATCGGTATCCTTTTCTGGCTGCGTGCCACTCAAGAGTAAGGAAAGTAGTCGACTTAATCCTGTTACTTCCGAAGTTATGGGTGGGTGACTCACTGCCATGAATTTTCTCTGGCTGCCCGTCCAACCTCCCGTAGAGATTGAGTGCTCTGTGAATAGTTCAATTAAAAGCTGAGCTAATAAGTGCCTCCCCCGGAAGAAAATCTCCTCAAAATTTTCCCGGTCCTGTCGTTCGATCCCTTGTGAAAGTCTGAACTTAGGCTTACCACTAAGAGTTCTACTTCATCAGTGGGATAGACAAAGTATCTGGAAACGAAACGGTACTGTGTAGGGTCATGCTAAGAGTGGATGATGATGGAGTTGAACCTCGATATTCTTGTTTCAGAACTAGCAGATGCTGATTCCCTGCTCTCTACTCCTCATATTAGAAAACGTTCTTTATTTGTTCCTGTCGCACTTCTTATCCTAGCCTCCGAGAAACCCAAAAGGGCTTCTGTCGTCTACATTTATTATCCAGTCCTCTTATTGTATAACTGTTGCGCGCGCCCGGCTCGATGACAGGGGGCTTATTGTGTATATCTATCCATACCATAGGGTTCTGAGTGGAAGCTTAACATCCATCTCAAAGCATCAGAAGAATGGGTTGCAACAAACGTTTTGAGTGGGGTTCCGCTGCTTGTAGATCCACCTTTCAGACAAAGCAGGACGCATATTGATTCCCGCCAACTCATGCTCTACCTTCAAAAGATCATCCATAGTTTGGGTGTTTGATTAACTCTACGGACTGGTCTGTTTGAGTTAGGGGCATTATTTGCATTACGATCCACCACAAGCACACCCTGTCTGACAACGCGTATTCTACCGGTCACGGTTCTTGAGCAATCCATGGATGTTTTTCATTGTAGTCCAATAATTTTTCTCAATTCTTCTCTAAACCTACCGCAGGATACCAACAGTGGCTTTCCCTGAGTGGAAACAGAGGGCAAGGGGTAATTTAGGAGTATATTCATCTGAATTTCAAGAAAGAAACCATAGCATTGTATGAAGACTGTTAGCTTGGGGACAATGAAGAACAAAAATAGTGTCGGCAAATTTATTATCAGGATCATCTCAAGTGTTTCATACACCGAGTTATAGCTGTAACCAATCCTATATTCGTCAGCCGTGTTTCCTACACCCCTTAGTAATTACAGGAAGGAGGGCTTTCACTCGTCTAATTCTCAACTTCAAGATCTTTTTAAAGAATAGAAGTGTTCGTCAACTAGTTTTTATCCCTCTCGACTTTCAGATTATCAGGAATGAGTGGCGACCGGGGAGCAAGGTTTTTAAGTAACTAGTAAAAGCAACATAGGACAGTGAAGCAAGAAGCACGTCACCGTCTGCCTAATGTGCGAAGAATCAATGGTTCTAGTGCTAACTGAACTACACGCGTTGGTCAGAAGAATCCAAAAGAGTGGTATTAGCATTATCATAGATCATAAGTTGGAACTGAGAACCTGCATACACGCAGAGTTAACTTTCAGTGGACAAATAAGCTTGGGTTATCTCCACCAAGAAATCATCCGAAAGTCCCATGTCTCTTCAGAAGTAGGCTTCATGCCTAATTATCCCGCAGGTGTATTCAATTATTATGGACAGCTATAGTGGGTGACAAAAGTCTTGTTAAAGAAAACGTTTTAAAAATAAAACACATGTCTGAAAACCGCTCTCGGGATTATCATCCCGATGTTAGCCACGACACAGCGGATTGGCGAAATCCAAAAAGTGATTATACAGCGCCAGTGCCTTCTGTAAATGCTGAGATACGTGGCCTGCCTGAATATCTGGGCTACTAAATTTTCTATCTGTCATACTATGTCAAGTGTTTTAACGGATTTTCTCTTCCTAATCATTCACGTTCTCTGATCACATCATATATTCACGCACATTTTTACGAAGCTTACGGCCTTCTGCGATGCCAACATCAGTAAACAAGTGGATAAATGTTTTATTCTCACGTTAAAAAGGGTTTATCATGAGAGAATCCAGTTTACAGGCTTCATCACACTGATGCATCTCAAAATATCTACGGGACTT